TGCACCAAGTGCCGGCGAGTACGTACTCTTTCCACCAAGACTATATAGACTGCTCTAAAGCCACACTGATACTCACAGAGCTGAAAAGCCATAAGTGAAGAACATTTACAGCATGAAAATGACTCAATTAAAACTTTCTCTACTCTGGAAAGAATCACACCCAATTAGGGTTTTAGGTTCTTTCAGTGGTTCAAAAATGACTGCATTCTATTTTGTAGAACTGTGTAATCTGGTAGGAGTTTACCATTGTTTCATAGGCCCTTGCTGCTTCCATCATCAGGGACCTTCTACGAGACTATAAGGCACTTCTATCTGGAAGAGTTATGTTCAAACACAAGTTCAGACCTCAGTAAACTTATATTTGTGAATGATTTTGATAAATGTGTCATGAACTTTGCATGATAGTCCGTGTTGCTAAAATTATTACTTCTAGTCGGAGATAAAATACATTTTCAGTATGGTATGACAATATTGCATTTTCTGACATAATATTTTTTTAAAAAAAATTGTTATGGTTGCACAGAATTTTGTAAAATATTCAAATGAAAGATTTTACATAAGTCCATCAAGCAGGGCAACAATTGTTACATGCTGACAGTGACAAAGCTAATAAGTATTTTTTGCAATTTCTTGTTATGAATGCACCTGATACAGACGGTTGTCTTCTGGGATGTTGTAGCATGTGGTCTCATAGAAACTGACAAATTGATGTTTCAGAGGTGCTGACTGCTTACATCATCGAGGCAATGAGTGAGTTGCATGAGAAAGTGTAGTTTGATATGTAGGAGTAGGTGGGACCAATGGATTTTGGGTAAGGATGGTTGAAATGAGGACAAGCTGTGCACAGCCTGGAGAGGACACGGAAGTGGTCTTAAATATATAGTACTTGGAATCAGGATGGGAAAGAACAATTTAAAGAGGTGAAATGGATGAAAGTTGAAATAAACATACTGTGTAAATATGAATACGAAATGTAAGGAATAGAAGAAGTAGCACGCAGTAAGCACTTCTCAAATGTTGGTCATTTTCTATAAGACTACACAGCACAACGTCCAAGAAGATGGTCATGCGATCATGAGAACCTGAAATCTTGTGCACATGAAAAAGGTATTTATGTTGTCATTTCTCACGTCGTCTTCCCAGAAATGGCCAGCTCTAATCAAACTTCTATTAAATTTTTTAAATGAGAGATGTTTTTATATTACTCTATGACAAGTTAAGAAAAGTAACATAATCTTAATAAACTTCTTATGATTAGAACAGCATTATAATATAAATTAAATTGTGTAAATCTACACTAAAGTAAGTTGTTAAAATGTATTGAGCATGGTGTATTACGCATCTATGTAATTCAGTTACGATACACAAAGTACAGTTTCTCATTTTCCTTTTGTAACAGTTTGTTAACACCGATAGTAATTCTACTAAACTGTAATACAGTCTAGAAACAATTTGTTTCTATTTCCACTTTTCAACGCTTCTGGTCTCTGTCTTCAGTTTCGTCTGATGATGGAAAAACACTCTCTAAAATATTTGATTCTAACTCTGTACTTAAATGGCTGATTGCCTGAGAATAATTCATTGCATTGCGTTGGTATGAAAACTTCGTATCTTACAACCTTCTCTAATGCTTCTGATTTGCTAATACCAGTTGAATTTCTTGCCTGCAGAAAAATGTACAGGTTGTTGACATGACATTGAGTGTTGAAAACTGTTAGTCAGACATGAATTTCTTATCCTGTAACATCTGAAAACTAATGATCTCTCTTGGCATTCTAATAGACTTCATATTGAGTTCTGTGGGAACCTTTCAGGAGTTTGCATGAAACTGACTGACATGAAGGAAGATAGGTGGCACAGATGGTGTCTGCTTCATGCTTCAAACAACTGAATCCTTTATACACCAGCTCTTTGAAGCTGATTGGGTCATGAGGGCATATGACAGAAGGTGCACAGAAGCATGCAGAACTCAGCCACCATCATCTGAGTTGGTCAATTTTTTATCTGGAGCCAGATTGAAAATTCCATCTGGTCTCATATGCTACTGGAACTTTCTTATTGCAAATATTTCTTAGCAAGTACAAGTTGAGGTTCTCATAAGTGCCCTTTAAGGAATGGTTCAAACTGGGACATAACTTCATTTGCCTAGAAACTTTACAGTTGTAGATCCAAAAAGTCCTCCCCTCATTTCTCCAAAAAAAAAAAATTACCTTCTACTCTTTACAAGAACATTTTGATGGTAATTTTAATTGATTCTCATATTGTTTGGTCATATGCCTATTAACAGACTGTTCCTTCTTTGCTGTTATTAGTCGCTGAACCACTGATTGCATGTGCTGAGAACTATTTGCATGGTTATTTCCTCTTCGGTCTTTTTGCATTCAGAGATGTCAGGGATGTGTGAAGAGTGTCACATTGGCAAAACAGGTTGTACACAGAACAATAACCTTTCCAGTTGTTAGTGAAACAAAAGTCTCAGACTTAATGGCTTGTCTCCATTAGTAAGTCTTCATTCGCACATTCAGAAAGATATCGCGTTTTTCCATGTTGCAGGGAGAAATGCCTTCCTAAACCTGTATTTCTAATATAGTCGAGTCCTCTGTCGATATATTGGTATCATCTGTGGGTATCATCTGTGGTTGTTCATCCAGTCTCAAGCGCATCTATTTTGATAATGTTAGGCCATAGCCCTACATCTCAACGTAACTCCGTGTAGTTTCAGTCTACGAGTACTTCATCTGATATTTCGTCAACAGGTAACATTTCCTATACTAGTTCCGGACATCATGTTCGCGTTTTATTTTGCAACTGGCAAATATCATAAAAACAGTTCAAATCACGACATAAGCCCTATCACAGAGCCATCGTCGGTGTAGCCGTCGGGAAAAATAATTTATCGTTTTCATAATTTCGATTTTCAATTGAAACGATTGCAGGTTTTTGTGTAAAGTGGCCTATTGTGATAAAATTACATAAAGCAACTAATCCCGTGGGTTGTCTTGGACTTAATGTTTGGTAAATATTTGTTGAAGTTCGTAAAAGTTCATTTTTTCAGCTGTCTTCGCAAGTATTTATTAAATTGAGGTTCTCCAACATATTTAATTTAGGTCTCTTGCTGTCTCCTGCGTACTAACGTTCGGAGGGAGTATGTAGTTGGTAACCCGCAGGGTTGCAACCCTGGTATTTTACTTGGATAATCCATGGATATTCACACTTGATCATGGCGGAAACTTTCCATTCATCCCACCACGGTCATGTATGTTGTCTCCTGCATGTTCATTTACGTTCGTTGCAATTACAAACAAATGTAATGTCAGTGGAATAGTAGTGTTTTGAAATGTTGGTGTAGTGAGTGCTTTAAATGTATATAACCAAAAATGCCAATTTGTAGTGTTTTCGGATGTAAAAACAGGAACAGTAACACGCAAGGTGTGAAGTTTTATTCGTTCCCAAAAGAAAGCGATGTACAAAATAAATGGATCGTTGCGTGTGGAAGGAAAGATGGATTCAATCTAAAAACTGGTAAATAATAAATTCGATGTAGGTCAGATACTGCATTCATGAATTCTATTATTAGTTGCAGTGATACTCCTATATCTAAACCTTACAGGTAAAATATGCTCAATACATTTTGAAGACAAATTTATACAGCAGTCTATGAAGAACCGTCTTCTTGGTTTGAAACCAAAGAATGAGAGAGATTTGACTTCTGATGCAGTTCCAACATTAAATTTACCGCATACATTATCCACTGGCAAAAAAAGAAAATTTAATAATACAGTACGGAGTAACAGATTTGAAGTTAGATCAAGAAAAATATTAGCAAGGGACAATTCAACAGCGTAAGTTTTATTGTTGAGAAGTAAAATTTACAAAAATCCGTAAAATATATCATGTTCATGAACGTAGTTCACATTATAGGATTTTAGGTTCTCAGGGTGGCGAATATGAAGATGAGTGTTGTTGTGTTGTCTGGTAGAAGTTTACCATAGTTTCACAGGTCCTTGCTGCTTCCATCATCATGATTATTGCTTGGATCTCTGAAGCGTTGGTAAACTACTTCCAGATTACATGGTGCTACATCCCAGAAGACATCCATCTTTGGATTCATCACCATGATAACCTCAAATCCAACTTGTTATGTTTAATTTCCACAGACCATGTTTATTTACTAGTATACACTATAATTTAGCTGCATTATGCACTTTTATGATTTTGTGCCCTCCTTTCATTTCTGTATCAAACCAGCAGATAAAACAGGGCATACTGCAACACGAATTATGATTCTTGTAGAATTTAAACATGTGTATTGACGTAGTTATTAATATTGGTGAGTAAAGTGTTTGGACATTCAAGTATGTGTTTTTGCGGCTCAGCTAATCGAGAAGTTCCATTTGTTTTATACAGCCCAAACCTTAATGTTTTTTTTTTTCATTTCCTTTTTCAGACTACATGGACAGTTAAATGATGCTGCTGATATTTAAAATATCTCTCCAGTGTTTTTATATTGTAGATTTTGGTACATAGTTATTTAAATTGTCATTATTATCATTATTACTGTGCTCTTAAATTCTCGTGTTTGGTTGCAGATCTTGTCCCATTTCATTTGAAGAACTGCAAAAAGAAAATGATATACTGAAAATCAAAATTAAAGAGCAAGAACAATACATTTTCAAACTTCAGGAAGAAATAAGATTATTGAAGGATGCTAAGAGAACACAAAGGGAAAACTAATAATTTACAAATGCATCCGCTTCACTAAAGTTAAGAATGAAGTTATTTTAAGTGGTGATATGAAGGAAAATGAAATGGACTGGTGTAGATATTCCATAAAGCAAAATGTATTTTGGAACCAAGAATGAATTTCCCACTATCTGCTACCAAGTTCATGTATGTTTTGTAGATGGGCTGAACTTTTGAATGCTGTGAGGTTGTGTTAACTGATGTATTTATGCTCATGAATGCCAGAGGAAAAACCTTGTCAGAACAGGCAAGATGTCTTATTGTATGGTGAAATCTGAGGGGACAAACGAGTTTTGAATCGAAATGGTGAGACCATGTAGAACTGTGCTAGTAGTTGCAAATACATGATGGTTAGGAGCTGGAAACAGCCAATTTATTATGAATTGATGAAGCTGCTATAAAAGAATATTTTAATTTAAATTGTTTATGAACTGCATCATGTCAGTTTGTCATTACGACTGTCAGTGATCGACGGGACAAAATAGGTCACCTTTTCAATTACGAGCTGTTTATTTTACCATTTTCATTTGCACATAATCTCTTAAATGTATTGAAGGATAATCTCCTAGACAAACTCTTCATAATAAATGGAAGAACTGTTTCTGGGAATCTTTACAACAGTTCCTGTCTTTTTTTGATAACTGAACTAACAATAGCTCATGCACCATGTTTTAAGTATTTAATATCCATAAAGACGACAAAATCTTCTCTGTTGTCTTGTGTCCGCACACATCAGCCATTTAGAAAGATATCCTTCCACGTGTGTGGTTATTTATTCCAGTTCTTTGATGTGTTGGGAGGGGAGAAGGGAGAGAGGAAAGATGAGCTTGTGGAGGCATGGAGGGGAAGGGGTTCATTATAATGGTTGTAAATGGAATTAGAGATTGGATATTGGTTGATATGTACATCACATGTTAAACACAGGACATTCCCACAGCCCCATAGATGATATGGTTGCCAGTACTTAAGAAGGGCATACATTTGAACACCATAGAAAAATACCATAAAAACTGTGCACAGAGACCAAACTCGGTCTTTGAAGTGTGCATTTGTGAGTAGTGAGTAACCAGCCCACTGACAAATGATATTTATACTGACAGCCAAAATTCAATCTTTAATTCCATTTTCAACCATTATAATAAAACAACCTACCCTTCCCACTCACAGTAATGCGTGCTTCAAATGTACTGCCCAAAGATTATAGTTTTTTGGCTGTCCTTGCCAGAGATACTGCTCAGTAGACATGTTACCAAACTGTAAAACTACCTGACCTCAGTTTGGTCACGTTTGCATTTTTCACTCTTCAGGTCGTGGCTGCCAACTGTTTTCTTCCTTATTAAGCTCAGAAGGTATTATAGACACACACACACACACTCAGCCAGAGGCAGGACTCGGTTTACGCCGCTTCACTTTTTTAAAATTTAAATAACTAAACAAAAAACAGAATATGAAATGCGATGAGATGTGTGTTGTGCCTTCAATTTAGTACCATCAACAGAGGAAAGTGAAGCTGACTCTGCAATGCCAGTTAGGACACCAACAGTGAAATCAATGCAAGAGGCTGTTTCTCTTAATAATAAGGGATGTGAGATCTGTAGAACAACCCCAACTGCGAGCGGAGCTCAACTTTTTAGGGAGGAATTGAGACAGTTCTACAGCCATATTATAACTTATCATCAGAAAAGAAAAAAACCAAACAGACATCTATACTGTTGTTTTGAAAGCAGTAAAATTTCTTTCTTTTTCTTATACATTATCATCTTAAAACGACATACAATTTTCAGTACGTAAATTTCATAAAATAAAACTTTTTTCAAGTATTTGTGTTAATTACTGAAATTCTTGGAATGAAACGTAATATATTTACATAAATTACACAGCAAGAACCATTAAAATTCTTAATATAAAAATAAGTGTTCTTCAAATTATATTATGGTAATAAAATCAATGATAAAATTAATGTGGCTTATATCATACAAAGAGGAAAATGGAACCATAAAACATTTTTTGGTTTGAAAAAAAGTTTAAATGATGGTATCAAATGAAAATAAAGAGTACTCTGGGTCACTGACAGTATTTTAATTGTCAGGTTGAAAACTGAACGCGAAAACATGTTGCATGAACATTTTCACATCAGTAATGCAAATATGGCAAACAAAAGGTTTTTATGATGCATATACATAGTTTCAGCATAGAATTTTGGAATTTATTGCAATGTACTTCTCTTGTGAAAGGTACCAATTATGATGAGGCATTTTTCTTCTGATGAGAGAGGCCAACTTGACAACTGATATACAGGTGTCCCAGGAGGAAAGGTCAATATTCTGGGAGGTCATATTATCGGTCATTCTAAGCAAAAAAGTGTACATGTGTCCTATTCCTAACGGTTTCCGAGACAGGGCTATTTCATTGTACAGTAGTTTGGATTTGGCGCTCAATATTGCCCTTCGCTATTGGATGTTATCGCCCTCATAAACGAACGTCAAGACACACTCAGACTAGCAACACGTCATGTCCTCACATGAGTTGCAAAGTTCATTGAAGTTGACGGTGGAATTTTCAAAAATGTATTGTACTAGGTAAACTGCACCAACTTTGTCACTTGAACAATAAATACCGGTATTAGAAACAGTACGTAATATCTCTTTCTTATCAACAATTTTTGCTTAGAATGACTGATACTATGACCTCCCAGAATATTGATCTTTCCTCCTGGGACATTCTGTATATGCAGAAGGCTCTAAAATCACATTTCAATTGACCAGCCAGTTACCCGACTTAACTGAATCATAATTTTTTTTAAGTATACAAGTGATTTAACCAGAATGGACAAACAGCCATCAATGTCAACATAAAACAGCATTTTTATCAAAATATCATACATACATTACAGCTTCAAATTTTGTAATGAGAATTGAACTTTCCAAAATATGTTGAAGATGGCTGTCTTCTGAGTTGTTGCACCGTGTAGTCTGGTAGAAGTTTTGCCAACGTTTCAGAAATCCTTGCTGCCTCCATCATTGCCCAGATGATTGTTTTGAGATCAGAATACTTTCTACTGCTTCTCATTTCTCAATCTTTGATCGTAATACTCTTCTAGCACCTTTATACCTCCAGTAATGTCGACCTCCGTTGTTTAGTACATAATAACTCTTTTTCATATTGCTGCAGCTGTTTATCCTTTCTTTGAATTGTTTTCTCTTGTTCTGCCAAACGTTTCTTCATTTTAACATACAAAAAACAACAGTAAGTCACAATAAATGGTCATATTTAAACCAAATATTAAACATAAAAATATTTCTTGAATTGTAATAATTGAATGACAGAAAATAATACAAGATACCAATGTTTTCTTAACATACAACACAGAAAACCCGCTTATTGTTACAAAATATCAAGATATAGATCCTGTGACAGAGTTTGCTCTAACTTTGTCCTTCATAAACTATCTTTCCTTTCTATTGAAATTCTTAAGATATAATTTAGCAGTTGATTATGCTAAAAATGCTTGAATCTTAGCCCCAACTTCAATTACCTTCATCTCAGCCAGTTGGCTCTTAGCAGCAGCTTCCTGTTTTACAGCCTTTGATAACGCAAGTTCTTCCCGATCAAACTGGTCTGTCATGGCAGCATAGTCTCGTTCAAGCCTAGTGAATTTCTCCGTGAGCTCTGCGTGGGACTGCTCACTTTCCTTTACGCTTCCCTGCCACTCCGACAGCTGACTCTCAGCCTGCTTGCGATATCGCGCAAACTCTTGTCGACTCGCACAAGCGACTGTCAGTGCAGTTATCGGTTCATTATTTTTGGCTTCCAGCTGAATCTTTAGTTTCTCATAATCACGCTTACCCTGCAAATGCATTATAAATGAAACGCTTGTAACATTATACAGAGTGTATCAGATATTCCTTAGATTAAAAACGTAGATCATACACTCATTCCACTTCCTTCATAGACATCTTAATATTATCCTCCCCCTTCTTAATCTGTAGGAGAATTTCCAAACAAATTTCTTTTTGTCTTTGATGGTTTTCATAACTTTAGAGAATTCACGTGAAAGTTTTCACAGAAAGGTAAATTAAAATACGCAATTAAGATGCAATAAATTACGTAACTTGAATTTCTTGAGGTGCGAAGCTTGAAATACAAAGGTGTCCAAAATATTAGCCACTTTATATCATTCTCACTTACTGAAACGTTTTGCGCGATAGATAAATAAATACTTTCGTGATATTATCTTGCATGTTATCATCGTGACGTGCATTATCTGACAGAAAATTGTTAAGTTCTTCTGCTCAACAATGATGTATACAATTTTGTAAATGTAACTATTCATTACAAAAGACAACGCTTTTTTTTATCTCAATGGTCAGGCTTGACCGTCGTGACCCCTTTCGGGGTTTTCTTGCGAAAGTACCACTGTGGTTTCGCCTACAAATCATTTGGAGATTGGTTATATATCATGTAATGAAAAACAGATGAAACATTTTCTTGTTTTATTATAAAAAAAAACAGTACGTTTCCACAGTGTTCTTCAGCCTATAGCCGCTCACCCTGCCTAATTGTTTAAACTTGATATAAATTTATCCACGCCGGAGAGGAATTCGACACTGCACGCCACACAGACGCGTCGGAGAAGTTGCTCACCTTGAAGGTGACAAGCCAACGTGTCAGTATCAAAGTCGCGTTCTTATTGGATAGGTGCGCTAACGTTGGACCAATTACATCGCCTGTTTATTTGTCTACTACGCTATTTTATTGGCTTCATTTTGCCTATACTTTTACATGCCTATGGAATTTCTTTGTATTATAAAAGATCACGGACTGAGGTTTTTGGAAAATAAATTTACCTTAAAGACCTATAAGAGAAGGATAAAAAACTTTTTGAGTAGCTTCATAATTAGTACACATCATTTGAAATCCTTGGAGGTTGTCTGCCGTAATAGCATGAAAGTAAGAAAGTAAAAATGCTGTCCCGCTGTACGCCATGTAGGCGCTTGGGGGGAGAGGAGGGTGTAGCTCCTACTCATTCCTAACGTCGACACTAGATGGTGTGAGTGTTATAACGTAGTCTAATTTCAAACAGAGCATAATCTGTTGTACAATGCCTGGACTGACTGAGGTATTCTGCGTACTGTTTGCATGTCCAAAAATAGTACTTCTGTGTGTGTAATGTGTCTAAGGAAGGCTGTAAATATCATGCAAGAATGACAAAGACTTCTGACAAACGGCAGACCCGTCCAGTCATCAGACAGGACGCCTGATGAGGGCAGAGACTAATAAATATCAAAACTCGGACTGTAAAATGTGGTAATGAGCCTCAAAAGAGGACTGACTGTCAGACTTGCAAGCGTTGGGGACGGAGCTGCTCCCTGAAACGTCGATTTTGTTAAAATATTGTTTCTGTTAAGATGTCTTTGTGTGGAAGTACTAACCCTCTGTGTTGTCCTCAACCATTGTGACCTTTCATCAATACGACGAGTTTTGAATGGTATAAGAGATTCCTCTGAACCTTTCGCCATCTTTCTTTTGCATGGAACTCTGGCTGCAGACCCTGAAATTGACAAATTCACAACGCTTTTCAGTTCTAATTTACGACCTTTCTTCCTATAATGATGCATCCTGCTATACGCCATGTAGGCGCTTGGGGGGAGAGAAAATAGCTCCTACTCATCATCATCATGTACCATTGAGACCATTTATCTTGGCACTAGGAGCAAAATAACCCTTTCATGCCACAATATTTGAACGTCATGTTTCTTTAATAGCAAATGAGAAGAAACGATAAAATTGTTGGTCACATACCTGGGAGGGAATAGCATTTCACTTTCCCAGCGGCAGAAGGCGCTTCTGTAGTAAGATTGGCTTTGAATTTCTTGAGTTGAAATTCTGTTCCTTGTGGTCCATTTGAATCATCACTGTGAAAGATTCGAAGCAGAAATGTTGTTGGCGAATATTAAACCTCAAAGCCTGAGTGTGCATAGAGTATGTAAATCAACAAGAATAATTCAAAATTCCTGATGATATTCAGTGATTTTTCTCACTGTGTATGATACTGATAAGGAAAATATTGTCAAATTACAGATGCAGTAACAAAACTGGAGAAAATAACACATCAAGAAGCTTTAGAATCTGTACTTTTAGCCTACGTCATTAAAGTAATAATTCCAGCGATAAAATTGGTTTGCCGTATATTATGCAAAGAGGTAGCTAAATAGAATGACTAAACACGTTTGGGTTTGAAAATCTCGTAACAGATCATTTTAAGGACCTGAGCCATATGTAAAAGGATAATATTCAAATGGGTCTTTGAGAAGCAGACTTTGAAGTTATGACATAGATTACAATTGAAAGCTCAAACAATGGTAAAAAAAATTAAAGTTACGTAAGATTAATCGCCATCGATATAGTACTTAGATCGTCGTGTTGCAAATTTTAAACACGAACCACGTTGCATTGAAATGTTCACATCAGTAATTACAATATGACAGCCAACTAACATTTTGAAGGCCACTCGAACGTCATTTCTCTCAGTACAAGCAGATAGCAAGTCAACTGTCAAAACAAGCTTAGTTTTCTTTCTACATATTTCATAACTTTAAATTTTGTAATGGAAATAGAACATTTCTTCACATCGGCATACGTTAACTAACTGCTATCAAGTTACTGAACACATTAATAGGACTTAATATATGTAATATTTTTATATTATTATACGTGTATAACACGTTTCAGAAACAATCCATCCTATCTTGCTTTATTTTATTAAATAAATGTAAATTGTACCATCTCTCAAGATGCACAAAACATAGGAACTATTTTTTTTTTTTAAAGTGTTCTGTCTGACGATAGGTCCATATGAACAGGATCCTTCCATCCTTTTCTCGGACTGGGACCTGTTCATATACGTTCTTGGCAGATGATCCAGAAGTGGTTTGCCATTGCCTTCTTCTGTGTGTGAATGGAGTAATTGTTGGGATGCCACGGAGGAAAACTCCGTGTTGCCTAGACCACGGCGTTGCCCAACACAAGTTATAAATTCGGGCACCGCCGGTAATCGAACCCGAGACCCCAGGATTACAAGGCCAGCGTTCTAACCGCTAGACCACCGTGGCTGTCATAGGAACTATAGGACTTTAGAAAGGAAATAATTACCTTATGCCATTCCTAGGTAATGGAGGTCTTTTGCCATTTATAATTGTGTATTTCGTCGATACTGCTTTGTCGCTAGTAGTGTCAAAATGCAGATCACTGTGACAAATGCCATTTTGTTGCAAAGTCTCTGTAGTAAAACTTAATGACTGCTTGTCTCCTTCAGTATTATTATATTGAAGCAAGATCCTGTCCCTACACCGCGTTAAATCATCTGTTATCGCTTTTAGTTCAGCGTTCACTCGTTCTATTTCTTGGTTTTTCTTTGACATACGTGACTGCAGATCAACATATTCTCTTTGTGTGTCGTTCAGTTGTTTTAATATTTCCTGTGCTTCAGGTTTCCTTCTTTGTCCTCTGGGGCATACACCACCCTTCAGCTCTTTTTCATGTAACCGAATTTTACGATTTCCCCCCCTTTCTGCAGGAACTGTCACCGAAGCAACAATTTCCGACTCCGTGTTATTATATTTCTGTACAGTTTCGTCTAATTTAATTTCCTATTTCTTTTGGTTGCGTTCCATTGTCCTAATGACTTCATCTTGCTCCATAGTCTTTTGTCTAACTGCAGTTAATTCATCTTCCAACCTTTCTGCACGTAGCAGTTCTTTTTCATAGTGCTGCAGTTTTTCTTCCTTCCTGGCTAATTCTTCTTGCAAATCTCGAATATACTTATCAAGTTCCACCTATAAGACAATGTAGTCAATAACAGAAAATTACCACATTTGAAGCAAATAACAAACGGCAATATTTCTCGCATTAAAAATCTCATGCTGAACGGCACAGAAACCCGTCTCTCTGACAAACAACAGAAAAACTAAACAAAGGAAAGGAAAGACTTATCTCTTCATCATCATCATTATCATCAACTACTCCAAGGATTGGTCCTATTTAGTCTTGCAGGATGCATTTGAACAGTGAGTGACCAGCCCACTGCCTCTGCACAATTTCTACTCAATCCTGATTTCTGTCTGCTGGAGCCATCTAGTAGCGAATCAGGAGAGACTTGGATGAGAAATGGCCGCTGAATTTTGCTTACGAAACATCTCGTGTCATGCTCGTAAGATTCTTTTACATGTCGTAAATCTATGACATGGGACCACTGGCTTTACTTTCCCTCCTTTTGGAAATTGTGCTATGGATTTTTATCATCCCTTAAAAATCTATCGACCTCTACCGGGTTTGAACCCGCGAACCTTGGGTCCAGTGGCGAGCACCCTAACCACTAGTCCGGTGTTGGGCAATCTTTTTACACTGGCGGCACACCAACCTCATTTTGTATATTGTTGGGGGGGGGGGGGGGGAGATGGTTTGTGGCATTGATTGGCAGCGACAACTTCTTACAAATTTATCCCAACCAAAAAATTTTCTATTTGATGTTCATAATTATCCATATATATTATTACGACATTTACTTTAAATACATTCACATTTTGAAATAAATTAAAACATATTTTTGCATATCGTGTAATCCAAAATTTATTAACTATGTTTAATCATTAAAACGTGAAGATCCTTATTAAAATTTGTATATGTAATTATGTCACGGTATCCAAATCAGTTTCCTGCGCCCCAAAAAGTCCACTGCATATGGAACATGACCGTCATTTACAAACAGTGGATGTGAGCACGGAAAATATTAAATATAAAATAAAACTAGACATAAATAATTATCTAATTATGAAACAACAGACTTTTGTAAGATGAGTAATTTTTCTTTAAAATTGACAAGTTATGATATATTTTGTTACTTATAGTTGGCTACACACTGCACTTCATAAATTAACTTGTAAAATCTGAAACTACAATATTCTTTCAACACTCAGTTTCCAACAGAAATATTAATCAGTACAGAATAAACAGAACAACGTTTGAGGCGTAAGTTTAGGCACTACCTACAACTACAATCTTCTGTGCGTCCGTGTGTATGTGTATTTTTTCCCCACCACCACGTACTTGATGGAATCGGCACGATAATGAAATCGTACATTATGATGTGCAAAACCACCAGAATAGACCTAATATGTAGAAAATTCTAGGCGCCATCATGAAATTTTTTAGGCACTCTGATGACCTGGATTTATACAAGCCCGCGTGTGTTAATGCATTTTCGTTAATCGTGACAGTAGTGAAAAGTAGCTAAGTAAATTGCATTGCAGTAACCTCCAGTTTCGTTTGTCAGTGAGACGTAGGTAAGTATTTCATAAAGAAGTCTTGTTTTAAAAAACGTTAACTTCCGTTCGTACTCATACATTGCCTCCTATGCTTATATTCTGCCTAATCTATGTAGGGACTTGATATGTGCCTACTCAAGGTTTGCCTCAGGTCCCAGCATAGAATAGGCAGACTTATAGAGGGCGGTACTTGCGCAGTAGCCTGTATGGAGAGACGTTACATTTTGTAAGTCTACTCCAAGCATGCACGAAGCAAGGAACGTGTGAGGAAATTGAGTGTTGTGGTACGGTGTTGTTACTTCGAAACGTGGTCGGAATTCGGATATTATACCCGCCTAACTGTTGTTTATATTGTGTCGAAACGGGTTGTGCTTGGTGCAGAACGGTACTGAATGTGTTATAGACGAAGGCTGCTCGTTTATTACTTACCTCGCTTCGCTGCCTTTCTTTGTTTGGCGTTAACTCATCGACATTCGGTGGGTCGCAAAAATTACTTTTTTCTTGAATATATGCAGTGGTCCTGTGAATTATTTCCTGCAGTCGATTCATCTTGTCTTTTTGTAAGTGTATCCATGGAAACACAATATATTGTTATGAAACAGTTTCAGAGCGCAACAATGTAGCTTTCTCTTGTTGATAATTTTAACAATTACATGCAGTATGTTCCAGTTTAGAATTCTTTGCTGGTCTTGAATGTTAAATATTTGAGACTCAACATGTTCAGAAGTAATATAAATATATCTTTCATGGAAATAAACCAATCACTACCACACTGACCGTCACCCTCTGTCTTGTAATATGTTTAATTTGCTAACCTATACATGGGATATTGCAACAGATCTCCCATGTGAAGAAAAATTTGTTTATGTCTCGCTGTTATGTATTCAGTACTTCAATTACCCTTAGAAACAACAACAATTAGCTACTATTTAGGACATTCCTCTAGTCCTTTCTTTAGACTAACATAAAAAAAATACTAAACTGCCGAATACACATTTACCGTAAGTCTTACAGCTTTCGAGGTAATTTAGCAAATGTTCACTCATAATTCAAGGGCCGTTACGTTTATTTCAACGATTTTTATGTTGTAAATGTTTATTTGGAGGCACCTTATGTTGAAGGCTATTTATAAGTCAGTATCAGAAATATTAGTCAGGAACTGAAAATCTATAAGAACCAACAGAAGGAACGCTCCAGAACTATTAGGCCACACGTATATAGCCTAACTGGTTATGTATTTTGCTGTCCTACAGCGTAAGGGCTCTCCATCCTTCATAATTATCATATATTTTGATAACATAACCTCAAATTATAGACATGTAGTATCTCTCAGTTTACCAAATTTTACAAGTCTAAATATAATACTTAATCAGGAAATAATATGTATAATATAAGCTATCATATTATTTTTTTGTTCTAGGGAAAAAGTATTTCACCAACAGCTACACACTTTCCAGATATACCAATTTTTAAATTAATATGTTCTCACTTTTATATAATTTGTGTTTGATTTGAGTTGAATAATTTTAAGAATTTTAAATTTCTTTGACAAGGGAAAGCGATTAATTAAAAATAAACCTATTGGAAAGTGTTCTTTCCAAATTAGGACCATATGAATGAAAGATTTTAATTTATTCACTGTAAATTGCAGAGGTTTGGAACATATATTAATACAAAGTCAGATACTTACATTTTAGATTATTTACAACACATATTCTACAATTTTAAATTATTTAAATGTTGTACTGACTTTTGGGCTTGTATTACACAGTTGTTGCTGCATCTAGTAGAGTAGAGTAGAGTTTATTTACATTCCATAGATCCTTCTTAGGACTCAACCAAAGGATATAGAACATGTCATTTCATACAATATACATACACTTCACAACTTTCAACACAAGTACAAGAACGTATTTCACATATCAATGTACATAAATTTCAGATTCTGCAATACAAGTATGAAAAATAATTTTACAAATTAATATACATAAACCTCAGAATTTTAAATATAAATACAAAACTTGCTTTACATACACGTAGATTATGGATATAAAGCTTAAACATTTTCAGCAGAGATAAAATCATCTACAGAATAGAAGGAGTGAGTAAAGAGGTAATCTTTCAATGCAGGCTTGAATACCTTTATATCATAATTTAAGACTTTTAATTGTTCGTGGAAGATTATTAAACAACTTGATACCTGTATAGTACACTCCTTTCTGATATTTAGTAAAGTTAGCATTTGGCACATATAGATCATTTACGTCTTGTATTTAAATTATGTACATCTGTATTTCTTTTAAATTTATCCATGTTTTCCACCACAAATGATAGCAAGCAGAGTATAAATTCACTTGCAAGTGGAAGTATATTAAATTTACGAAATAATTTTCTAACATATCCATTGCCTTCATGAAGGTAGACAAGACATCTGGAATAGTTTATGGGTCTGCATATGTATATGACAACTAGAAGCTGCACCTCTGCCCTCCCATTGTCTATGAAAACCAACCAAGGGACAACTTGAGATGTTCACTATGACAATGGTTTGTATACTGTTAACTGAAACAGCTCATCATGCAGAAAATCTTCAGTCTTGAAGCCAGTATGATTTATTACTGACCACCAACCATTAATGTACAAGTATCTTTAATTACTGCTAATTATCAACAGTCCTTGAAGGACCTCAGCTCCCATGAACACATGATGCACAAAGCCTTGGCTTCAAGACCAACCTGATTCACTGCGGAGTTTTCTTGTGTGTGTTTCCCTTCATACGAACTCAAAGCTTCATGAAAGTGAAGTGTATTCCGAGCTTCGGGTGTCAGATCACATGTTGAAATGTTTGTCCGTGTGACATCTTCTCATTGGCGGCCATCACCTTCTCAATATACCACGTCATATTTCAGAAGCCGCAACAGTGAATGCAAAAACATTCATTGCAAGCTTCCACACTGTTTGGAAAAGTTAAGTTTTCCTTTATGACATTAATGCTATTTTGTTCTTCCAGTCAAGGAATGCAATGGTGAACTTTCATAAGGCAAGATGCTGAAGTTGATAATGGAGGTTCATTATGAGTATGTACATTTCATATTACATTTATACATTAGTATGTTAAAGTTTGGACTAACAAACCAAAGTGTATAAATTATGAAATCCCATGTTTACCTTAGCATTTTGTGTTCATATGTTTATAGTGTTGTCCTCGGTGGACTAGTGGTTAGCGTGCTCACCACTGGGCCCCAAGATTTGCGGGTTCAAACTCGGCTGAGGTCGACAGATTTTTAAGGGTGATAGAAATCCATCAATCCTGGTCATTAGCCTGCAGCCTAGTGACATCTGGTTTCACCATCTTCATTTGTCATATTAAAAAAATGTTGTTCTGAAATGAGAACACGAAGTTGCTGAACTTATTAATTTTGTAATACAGTGTTTCTCGTGTGTTTTACTTATGCAGAACCCTTTTGGTAAGAACGTTCATTTGCATAATCCTTGAAACAAACTTATGTTTTTAAGTATTTATTCTTCACTAACAAACCTGTTTGCAGAAAGTTTAATTAAATAACCCCCAGCCATAGGGTACTTAAGGAATACCTCCGACACTACATTAGGGAAGATCAGACAAATTGAGTGCCATATGCAGTTTATGTATACAACACTTCCGCACACACATCCACGGGTTACGCACTTTTTGAACTTGTGTATGTTTTCAAGTCAACCATGCCATCAGAATTTCAAGGTGACCCGAGTCCACAATATAATTATGATGACTTCCTTGCTGAAT